GGGTTTCTTAAATAGTATTAGAAATTTTCTCTAAAGTATCTACATGAAAAAAAATTTGTAAAAATTTTTAACACTATTTGAGAAATCTATAATATTATATCAATATTTCATATTTCATATTTCCTATCATTGGAGGTGCTCGATCTTTTTTAGTTATACCATTAAAAAATAAATGGTGATTGAGTTTTGAAAACCATTAAACAATAAAGAAATGGTGATTGATTGAGATTCTTTCCTCCATGTGGCAAGATGCTATATGACCGACCGATCCTCATTGTGAGGAATTGAATCTATAATAATTTATCTGTCATGATTCCACATGATATGTTTTTAACGAGACTCTTATTGGTTCTAGGTTATTCTTCTTAATTACTATTATTTTTCTGAACCAAAAAATGTCAAAGTGTTAACAATTTTATAATATTTTCGAATCGAAGAGTAGAAAACTATCATATAACTACAATATGTGTTAAACAGATTCTTTTCTGCCGAGGAATAAGGATACATTGATAATCTATTTGGGAACTACAAATATGTGTTATACACATCTTCTTTTCCGTTAAATTAATGTTTTTGATGTTCCATTAATCTACCATTCTCTTATACATTTCATTATTCATATGACATGTTAGTAATCACTATAATTTCGTTTTAAAATGTGGATATTATAAAACTTAGGTGGATATATATTACGTTTATCCCTGCTTTTATGTTCACAGCTTCATGTACATGCTTTTATTTTGAAATAAAATTATGTATATTTGTGTTAAAGAAGATTTTCTCAGAGTTACGAGTGTGTATCTTTTTATAGTAAAAAGAGGACTGCGTATACTTTAACTTGTTCTAGTTTCCAATCCTGAAGAGAATATGAACTAAAGACCTTTGATATTTTGGTAATAAACAAAATAGATGAATGATATTGATATTTACTGTCTGACCTATCGTGGGTAAATGTATACATATTTGATTTTTTTAAAAATAAAAATTGTATAGGTTTCTTAAGGGTCATATAAATTTTTGAGTATTCCAAAAGAATTCGCATGTCTAATTTTACTCCTTATGTAAAAGTAAAACTCAACACTCACGCAATGGCCAAATAAAATGAACCCTTTCAAATAAAATGAATTATACAAGATTCCCTACTTATTTCCCCTGCACTGCAAAAGAATCCGATCTGAAAAAACTTGGAATCATCGATAAAACATGTGGTTACAATGCATACGTACGATCAACTCTTTTTTTTTTTATAAAAACGATATAAGTATTTTAGTAATATTAACAAATGCATTATCAATCAATGGGCTGCCACAATCTTAATCATTTTATTTTTCCTACTAAAAAATTGTTCTTTTTTTCTTTCCTCAATGAAAAAAGGTTATAAAAGCAGAACCCCAAATCAACAATCTTCATAAGTACCAACACCTCTTCTCATATTCTTCTTCTTCCATTCACTTTTAGATCGACAAAAACCAACACCCCTTCCAATAACATGGGTCATGAATGGTATTCTTTTTTCATATTTCAAAACATGATTTCACCATTATTTATTGTTCA